TGGGTGCAGTTTACTTTTTTTTTCTTGCTTTGTTAAATGCTAGCTAAGGGGAAGAATCCATATGACAGCCTACAGTAATACAGCTAGGAATAGAGACTGTAGTCCAGGTATAGGGAATGATTTAAACCATGAAATCATATTGTCATATTGTGGCTTGAACCTTGATAATGATAATATCAGAACTGATACTAATAATGAAACTGATTCTTTTTTTATTTTAATGACAGCTTTATTGAGATACAATTCACATAGCATACAATTCACCCATTCAACATGTACAATTATAGTGATTTTTCAGTATATTCACATTTGTGTAACCATCACTACAATCTAATTTGAGAACATTTTCATCACCTCAGGAAAAAACCCTGAACCTATTAGCAGTCACTCCATCCCTCTTCCCTTCTCTCACTGGTCCTCCAAGCCTAGGCAATGACTAAACTATGTTCTGTTACTAAGGATTTGCTAAATCAGGCAGTATAAGTTCAGTCATACCCTATATGGTCTTTTGTGACTGGCTTCTTGAGCAGGAACTGATTTTTAATAATAATAAGCACAAATATTTCAGTGTTTTTATCATAAGCTAAGCAGTTTACATTAATTCATTGAAATAGTACCATGTAAAGTAGATACTCTTATTACCTCCATTTACAGATAAATTGAAGGCAAAGACAAGTTTAAGTAATTTGCCAAATGTCACTGAGATAAAAAGCCACTGAGACAAAAAGCCACTGAGCCAGGCTTCAAATCAGATCTGTATTAATGATTACCCAGTGTTGCCTCCCATATTGTAGCTCCTGGCCAGGTGCAGTAGCTCACACCTGTAATCCCAGCACTTTTGGGGGCTGGGTGAATCACCTAAGGTTAGGAGTTTGAGACCAGCCTGACCAACATGGTGAATCCCCAGCTCTACCAAAAATACAAAAATTAGCCAGGCGTGGTGGTTGCGCACCTGTAATCCCAGCTGCTCAGGAAGCTGAGGCAGGAGAATCACTTGAACCTGGGAGGCAGAGGTTGCAGTGAACTGAGATCACACCATTGCATTCCAGCCTGAGTGACAAGAGCAAAACTCTGTCTCAAAACAAAAACAAAAGACAAAAAAAATAGCTCCCGATGAGAAGTTAGAAGGATAAAAACTATATTCATTGTCAAACATTTTAGTATCCAAAAGATTCAAAGCATTGCCCAGCCATATACTAGGTTAGAAAATGAAATTGCCTCTTAAATTATGTGCCTTCATTCTCCTTTTAATTCTAGGATGGCCCTGCCACTGTGCTCACTTCTGTGAAGAAGAAAGTGAAGAATGTGGGGATTTTCCTAAAGGTAGGAAGAAGATAGATGAGTAGTATAGGATGTTTAGGTTATAAAGAAGTTAAATAACATTGGCTAAAACAATTAAAATTTCAGTTTTTGGCCGTGCGCAGTGGCTCATGCCTGTAATCCCAGCACTTTGGGAGGCCAAGGTGGTCAGATAACCTGAGGTCGAGTTCAAGACCAGCCTGGCCAACATGAAGAAACCCTGTCTCTACTAAAAATACAAAAAAATTAGGCAGGCATTGTGGCAGTTGCCTTTGATTCCAGCTACTTGGGAGGCTGAGGCAAGACAATTGCTGGAACCTGGGAGTTGGAGATTGCAGTGAGCCGAGATTGCGCCATTGCATTCCAGCCTGGGTGACAGAGCAGGACTCTGTCTCAAAAAAAAAAAAAAAAAAATTCATTCTTTGATATTGACTTTTTCCATAGAATGAAGATGAGGAAGAAGAAGAGGAGGAGAAAGATGAGGCAGAGGACCTTTTGGGAAGAGGTTCTCGAGCAGCATTACTTACGGAAAGAACAAGAGTAAGTTTACTGCTTTAAATTACATTGATCTTATAGCTATCATATGGGTCACATGTTGTGATAAATTGGATTTTCCATTCACCAGAATGAAATGACTGCAGAAGAGAAGCGAAGAGCACATCAGAAAGAACTAGCAGCTCAACTCAATGAAGAAGCAAAGAGGCGATTGACTGAACAAAAGGGAGAGCAGCAGATTCAGAAGTAAGAGTTTGCATTGAGCAGTGAGATTATCTGAAAGTTCTGTGTAACTACAAAAATTTCTCAGTTTTTTTTTAATCTCACTCCAGAGCTCGCAAATCTAATGTGTCCTATAAAAACCCATCTCTGATGCCTAAGGAACCACATATTCGGGAAATGAAGATCTACATTGATAAGAAATATGAGACTGTAATAATGCCTGTGTTTGGCATTGCAACACCTTTTCACATTGCCACTATCAAGGTACTAACATTGAATGCATCAGGTTTTATCCAAACCATTTCTTAAAATAGGAATTGTATTTGCCATAAATAATTTGCATTGATCATTGTCTCCCACAATAGGCTCCTTCAGACTCTGTTCAGTTTACTGACTTTGCTCTTATCCTGTCATTCCTTCCCTCTTCCAGTTGTTTTCACTTAGTAGAAAGTTCAACTAGTCTAGAAACATAGTTTGTCTATCTTTCTTTCAAGTTTACTTAAGCATTATTTAACTTGTAGTTGTATTCATGGTACAAGGTACTTTGAGAATTCGGAGATTTTTTGAGAGGTAAAAAAATACTTCATTTTTAAAAAGATAAATTACGTAAGTTTATTAGATTGAGATTAAGGTTAAGAGCAGTCAATTTGTAAGTCCTAACTTAGTTTTAACATCTCTAAAACTACTAATCTCTATTTAGGAAAGAAGTCTGTTTACTATTTATGCTTTTCCTTTGAACAGAATATAAGTATGTCCGTGGAAGGAGATTATACTTACTTGCGAATCAACTTTTATTGCCCAGGCAGTGCTCTGGGCAGGAATGAAGGCAACATCTTTCCTAACCCTGAAGCGACTTTTGTCAAGGAAATGTGAGTCCCCACGAAAATAGTTATGCCCAGACCCATCCTGTCTGGAGTGGTATTCAGAAACATTTCATTCTCTGCTGCATTTTTCCCTACCTAGTAAATGGCAAAGCCTTCCTCATTGATACTTGTTTCAGATTGCCTTCTTGACTTTATACTATTTTCAGGATGGTCAGTATTTTATATTTACTAAACATATTTTGAGCCTGGGTAATATAGTGAGACCTTGTCTCTACTAAAAAAAAAACTTGGCCGGGCACAGTGGCTCATGTCTGTAATCCCAGAACTTTGGGAGGCCAAGGCGGGTGGATCACAAGGTCGGAAGTTTGAGACTAGCCTGGCCAATATGGTGAAACCCCATCTCCACTAAAAATACATAAATTAGCTGGGTGTGGTGGCAGGTGTTGGCAATCCCAGCTACTCGGGAGGCTGAGGCAGAAGAATTGGTTGAACCCAGGAGGCAAGGTTGCAGTGAGCCAGGATCACGCCACTGCACTGCAGCCTGGGCGACAGAGCGAGACTCCGTCTCAAAAAAAAATGATCCAGGTGTGGTGGTGTGCACCTGTCATCCCAGCTACTCTGGTGGCTAAGGTGGGATGATCCCTTGAGCCTAGGAGGTCGAGGCTGCAGTAAGCCCTGATGTTGCCACTGTATTCCAGCCTGAACGACAGAGAAGACCTTGTCTCAAAAAAAATAGTAATCATGAAAATAAGTGTTAATAATAGAACCCTCAAATAAGAAAATTGGTGCCACGTTGGATTCTACAATTTCTTGGTGTGAAATGGAATAATTTGGAGATGTTAGGCCAGATTTGAAAAATGAAAATGTGATTTCTCCCACTTCAATGGACTAGGTGTTTGTAACATTTTCCATTTAAGAGAAAGAAAGGGAATGGGCATGCATGGTGCCTCACACCTGTAATCCCTAGCACTTTGGGAGGCAGAGGCAGGCAGATCACATGAGGCCAGGAGTTTGAGACCATCCTGGTCAACATGGCAAAACTCTGTATTTGCTAAAAATAACAAAAATTAGCTGAGCATGGTGGTATGTACCTGTAATCCCGGCTACTTGGTAGGCTGACATGGGAGGATGGCTTGAACCCAGGAGGCAGAGGTTGCAGTGAGCTGAGATTGGGCCACTGTACTCCAGCCTGGGTGACAGAGCCAGACCCTCTCTCCAAAAAAAAAAAAAGAAGTAGAGATTAAGATGCTTATAAGATAATCAGTACAATTTCCCTGGCCTGAAAAAGAAATGTCTATAAATGCTCCTGCTTTTCGATAGTACGTACCGAGCTTCAAATATTAAGGCACCTGGTGAGCAGACAGTACCAGCCTTGAACCTTCAGAATGCTTTCCGAATTATAAAAGAAGTACAGAAACGTTATAAAACTCGAGAAGCCGAAGAGAAAGAGAAGGAGGTGAGCCTGAACACAGACAAAATATTCTGCAAAGGAGGACATGTATTTTTTTTGGAGACTTATAAGGATATGTGACAATTCGCTTCAATTTTCTTCCTGCTTAGGGCATTGTAAAACAAGACTCACTGGTGATCAATCTAAACCGGAGTAATCCCAAACTGAAAGATCTATACATTCGCCCCAATATTGCCCAGAAGAGGATGCAAGGCTCACTAGAGGCCCATGTCAATGGTATGGATAATCTCTCGTGTGCCTAGGCTTTGTCTTCAGGGGTACATTTGTAGGAATGACAGATCAGATAATAAAGTATGACAAGGAGTCATCGGCCAGTTAGCTGAGTTGGCTAGAGCATGGTGCCAATAAGGTACGACAAGGAAATGCTGGGAGGAATCTTACACTGCTGTATGGCCAGAAGGAAAGGAAAGCTCTATACAGTTGTTCCTGTGTCCTCTGACCATGTTCAAATCAGCCAGAAGAGTTGCAGTGCCTTCTGGCCTAACGTAACTATACTGCTTGACATTTCCTCATTCTTTTCCCCAGGCTTCCGCTTCACATCTGTTCGAGGAGACAAAGTGGATATATTGTACAATAATATTAAGCATGCTTTGTTCCAGCCCTGTGATGGAGAAATGATTATTGTCCTGCACTTTCACCTTAAGGTATACCTTTCTACTTAACTAGCTATAAGCTCTTGGGCAAGACACTTCATTTCTCTCAGCTTCTTTCCTATAAAATAGTGATGAAAAAGTCACCTTTCACATAAGAACATTAAGATGGTTAAATGAAATAATGCCTCTAATGGCCACAAGGCCTAGTATCTAGAAGGTGCTCATAAGCATATTTGTTCCTTTGGTGTGTTATGCAATGGCCAGCAAAATATACGAGATCTCCAAATTTCTATTTCTAAAATAAAACCTAAAATAAATAGGTTTTGCTTTAGATAAAATTTGTTACCAGCATAATTTCCAAAGTTACTATAATAAGTAAGAGCACTTTTTAAAATATACACTGTTTTACATTCCCAAGCATCATTATTTGTGATGACACTAGGGATGGTTTAATTATTTTTGTATGCATGCTGTGGAGGCCCAAGTTTGGATCACTGCCATTTCCATCACAGATACTTTTGTGTTTCTGACTTCTGTCTTCTTTCTGCTTTATGCCGGCAGAATGCCATCATGTTTGGGAAGAAGCGGCACACAGATGTGCAGTTCTACACAGAAGTCGGAGAGATAACCACGGACTTGGGGAAACATCAACATATGCATGACCGAGATGACCTCTATGCTGAGCAGGTCTGTGAAATTTAGTATAGTATTTGCAGGATAGTGAGGGAGGATGAGGCCAAATCCAAGTTCAGGGATTGTATTTTATAAACAACCCTGAGCTGGGCATGGTAGCTCATGCCTGTAATCCCAACACTTTGGGAGGCCAACACAGGTGGATCACCTGAGGGTCAGGAGTTCAAGACCAGCCTGACCAACATGGTGAAACCCCATCTCTACTAAAAAATATAAAAATTAGTTGGGCGTGGTGGTTGGTGTGCACCTGTAGTCCCAACTATTTGGGAGGCTGGGGCAGGAGAATTGAACCCAAGAGGCAGAGGATGCAGTGAGCCGAGATAGCTCAGTGCACTCCATCCTGGGCGATAGAGCAAGACTCCATCTCAAAAAATAAACAACCCTGGATCTTTTTGTGCAGAGCAACTCAAGTATCTGCTGAGATGGTGTATTACAATAGTTTAGGCTTAGGTTGCAGACTCAGCTTGACAGTTAATGGCATGGTGGCCTTAAATAAGGAATATGTACATGTTAGTTTCATAGTTATGAGAACTTCAGGGATGAACTGTGTAGCAAACCACCATGGCGCGTGTTTACTTATGTAACAAACCTGCACATCCTGCATATGTACCCCTGAACTTAAAAGTTGGAATTTTTGTTTTAAAGCACAAAAGCACTTCAGACTTGAGGGGAGTTACTATTAACAAATGTGATGGCTATATTTGATATTTTTTTCTTCTACAGATGGAACGAGAAATGAGGCACAAACTGAAGACAGCCTTTAAAAATTTCATTGAGAAAGTAGAGGCTCTAACTAAGGAGGAACTGGAATTTGAAGTGCCTTTTAGAGACTTGGGGTAACGTATCTTATCTTCTTTTTGGCCTGAAGTTTCACTGGTCTGCCTTTTGGTACAATAAATTCTTCTTCCTTTAATAATAATTTAAGGTATTATGTCCTTTCTTCCTATGACTAGTAATCTTTGAGACATCCATTTCTTCTTCAAAATGTTAAAGGGTTTAAGTCAGTGGCTAACTCTAAGAGGCTTCCTCTGGAGATGAGTCTCCAGTGAGTATGCTGGAGCTGTTTGGAATGGGGAGAGGGAAGAAATTTGTCTGTTGTGGCAGCAGCAGTCTCTCTTGTGATGAGCTCAGTCTTAAAATTTCTCTCTTCCAGATTTAATGGAGCTCCCTATAGGAGTACCTGCCTCCTTCAGCCCACTAGTAGTGCACTGGTAAATGCTACAGAATGGGTGAGTGTTTCTTACCTCCATTTAGTAAGAAATTAAAGGATAAATGTTTTTTATTCTAATTATTGTGATTTTCATTTTCGATATTTACTTAGACTTAAAACTCATTGAACAAATGACACTTATTCTCCCCACCCCCAAGACAGAGTTTTGCTCTTGTTGCCCAGGCTGGAGCGCCAGCTAGACTCACAGCAACGTCCGCCTCCCGGGTTCAAGCAAATCTCCTGCCTCAACCTCCAAGTAGCTGGGATCACAGGCATGCGCCACTGCCTGGCTAATTTTGTATTTTTATTAGAGACAGGGTTCTCCATATTGGTCAGGCTGGTCTCAAACTCCCGACCTCAGGTGATCCACCTGCCTTTGCCTCCCAGAATGCTAGGAGTACAGGCTTGAGCCACCGTACCTGGCCAAGTGATACTTAAAAATGTCTCTTTAGGGCAGGCATGATGGCTCACACCTATAATCCCAGCACTTTGAGAGGCCAAGGTGGGAGGAACAGTTGAGGCCAGGAGTTCAAAACCAGTCTGGGCAACACAACAAGAACTTTTTTTTTTTTTTTTTTTTTTGGATAATGTCTTTTTAAATAGTTTCTTTTAAATAATTCACATAGTTTCCTCGAATTTCTTCTCCTTGAAGGATGATTTTGATCTTGTAGATCCTAATACTGTGGCTTCTTAGTATATTATACTGCTTCAGTCTTTCAATAAAGCCCATAAAACAGCTTAGTTGTCTTTTGTATAATGATTTAGATCATGAAAGTTACTTGAAATATTGCTTTGGAGGAAATATTTATATGCTAATGATTCCGTTTCTTTCTGACAGCCACCTTTTGTGGTGACGTTGGATGAAGTGGAGCTGATTCACTTTGAGCGGGTCCAGTTTCACCTGAAGAACTTTGATATGGTAATTGTCTACAAGGATTACAGCAAGAAAGTGACTATGATCAATGCCATTCCTGTAGCCTCTCTTGACCCCATCAAGGAATGGTTGAAGTAAGTAAATTGGCCATCAATCTCCTATTTATCCCATGAACCCTGTATTATAGAATTCAAGTGTGGTATGTTGTGCATTAAAATCTATAGATACACTTAAGGTGAGACTGCCTTTTATTTGTTATAGACCAAGACTTGAAAACTTGAGATCTATTAGATAATGGAGCTGTTCACTTTTTCCTGATTCCCAAAAATAGTTTATGTACCCTTAAAATAAAAATCTAAGGTTTTTTTAAATTATCATTGTTACCCAGGCTGGTCTCAAACTCCTGGGTTCAAGTAATCCTTCCACCTCGGCCTCCCAGTGTACTGAGATTACAGGCATGAGCCATTGCACCCAGCCAATGTGGAGCATATTTACAATAGCTTTTTTTTTTTTTTTTTGGAGAAAGAGTCTCACTCTGTCACCAGGCTGGAGTGCAGTGACGCAATCTTGGCTCACTACAACCTCTGCAGTCTGCAACCTCCCCCTCCTGGGTTCAAGCAAGTTTGTTTCCTTCTTTCAGGAGTTATGGTCTTGTGCTGCTTTGTATCCAGTGTTTGAAAACTGTTGTTTCGTATTTTGTTTTGTAGTTGTTTAAGGTGGTAAGGTAAACCTAGTTGTTGTTACTCCATCATGACTAGAAGCAGAAGTTTCCATGTATGTTGTCTAAAGTGGATTTTTGCCAGTGGTGATCTCAGGCAGTTTTATGGTTGGTTGTTGTTATCCTTACTACTGTCATTTCTTTAGTGACAACAGTGCCACCACGCCAGTTTTTTCTTCTTCTTCACCCACTCTGATTCACCTGTCCTCAGCAGAAGTGAATTAAGAGTCATTTGAGCATTTTCTAAATACAGGGCACTTTAGGTACTGGGAAAAAAAGTCATTCCTACCTTCATATAGATATTGCATCAAGTAAACAACACATAGGAAAGCAGTGGAAGGTTGAAGGCAAGAGCCATTGAAAATTGTCTTTTTTTTTGAGATGGAGTCTTGCTCTGTCATCTGGCCTGGAGTGCAGTGGTGCAATCTCGGCTCACTGCAACCTGTGCCTCCTGGGTTCAAGTGATTCTCCTGCCTCAGCCTTCTGAGTAGCTGGGACTACAGGCCCATGCCACCACACCCGGCTAATTTTTTGTATTTTTAGTAGAGATGGGATGTCACCGTGTTAGCCAGGATGGTCTCGATCTCCTGACCTCGTGATCCACCCACCTCGACCTCCCAAAGTGCTGGGGTTACAGGCGTGAGTCACCACACTCAGCTGGAAATTGTCCATATTTCTTAACTATAGTAGTGAAAAATAGAATCACAGGAAGCGGTCATGAGTTATGACTACTGGGAAATAAGAATGGAATCAGTGACAGAGGGAAAAGCATGGGTGAATAGGAGAGAAGACTAAGTGAAGAGTAGGGAAATTGGTGTTTAAGAAAGAAAATGGGAGAGGATAAGCTCTGACTTGGGTGAAGGACAAAGCTTGCTTCAGTTGGAATGCTGGTCTGTTGTGAGGGCAAGTGCTCTAGGAGATCAAAGAGCAGCTCTGGTGGCATAGTACAAAGAATATCTGCTCCCAGGCTGGGCACGGTGGCTCACACTTGTAATCCCAGCGCTTTGGGAGGCTGAGGCATGTGGGTCACCTGAAGTGAGAAGTCTAGACCAGCCCCACAAACATGGCAAAACCCTGTCTCTACTAAAAATACAAAAATTAGCCAGGTATGGTGGCATGTACCTGTAATCCCAGGTGCTCAGGAGGCTGAGGCAGGATAATCACTTGAACCTAGGAGGCAGAGGTTGCAGTGAGCCAAGATTGTACCACTGCACTCTAGCCTGGGTGACAGAGCAAGACACTGTGTCAAAAAAAAAAAAAATCTGCTCCCAGATGTTTGAATACAGAAAATACGGAAGATTGATTTGTCATTTCTCTTAGTTCCTGCGACCTGAAGTACACAGAAGGAGTACAGTCCCTCAACTGGACTAAAATCATGAAGACCATTGTTGATGATCCCGAGGGCTTCTTTGAACAAGGTGGCTGGTCTTTTCTGGAGCCTGAGGGTGAGGTGCGTGAGTGGGGGGTTTCTTTTCTGGTACATAGTGTTGCTCACTATCATTTGGTCAGTTAGAATGGCATATAAATAGCACATAAGGGGCTAGGCCATCTGGGAGAGGTTCTGAACACAACTTGATATTGTTTCTTCAAATTAGTTTTACAGGTAAATGTTAAATTGATTATGCAGTGGTAGCTCCTGACAAGATTTTATTGAAACTACAAAAACTTTTCAATTTCTTAGTATTTAGGGAAAAAGTCCTTCTGGACATTTTGCAAAAATTATTTTCTACAAAATGGTCCACTTGACGTCTGTGTGATACATTAATACAGAAAGTCTTTGTTGTTAATTTCCCTAGGTAAGGGAAGCTAAAGTGAATTTTTCAGAAATAAAATAGTAAAATAATTGTACCTGACCACTGCTTTTAAACAAGTCATTTTGTCTCTCGATCACTCAGTTTTGTGCTGTTTCCTTCATGTAAATGCTGGTATACTGTGTGGGCTGAATTAACTCATCAAGTTAATAAGGTAAATATGTATATTATGCCCTGACTCACCAGGGGAGTGATGCTGAGGAAGGGGATTCAGAGTCTGAAATTGAAGATGAGACTTTTAATCCTTCAGAAGATGATTATGAAGAGGAAGAGGAGGACAGTGATGAAGATTATTCATCAGAAGCAGAAGAGTCAGGTTAGTCTTATAAAGAAAAGTTCATCCTGGCATCTTAATATATCATTTCTGAAAACTACTTTTTTTAGACTAAGAGAACTCTGTTATTCCATTTCATTCCTGCATGATGACTAATGCTTAATCAATTTTCTTCCAGACTATTCTAAGGAATCATTGGGTAGTGAAGAAGAGAGTGGAAAGGATTGGGATGAACTGGAGGAAGAAGCCCGAAAAGGTGTTCAAAAATCTGTTTTTATTCTGTTTGTCTACACACAAATTTCTAACACATTTCAGTATTTTGAGGGGTTAGTATTGATGGCCTAATGAGAGTAACAAAAGAATACTATAAAACTGATCTCCAGCCACAGATACAACTTTGAAGGAGAAAATGAGGTCTGGAATTTGTCCATACTCCCCAGTGGGTAGTGCTCAGCCTAACTGCTGTTTTCATCTGCCCAAGCCCCCATCTTGCCTATAGCCTTGATAGCCACGTAGTCATTTAAGACTCAAGAATTAGCTTACTCAGTTTACAAACCTAAATCCTTTCATTTTCTAGGCTTCTTCCAGGTTAGGAATGTCTTTATAATGCTAATCTAGTACTTTGAAACCAAACCCCAAACAAAAGTTTAAAGCTAGAAAGAAAATATTTGCTGTGTTCCAAGCACTGGGAATAGGTACTTCTCATAGGTTTTTATTTAACCCTTAAATAATTCTTCCTTTTGTAAATAAACCAGGGCTCAGAAAGTATTTGCCCAAGATCACAACTAGTGACTTAATAAAGATTAAAACTTGAGTCTAATTCCAAAATATATTCTGTTATCTCATGTTATCCAGTAACATTAGGTACCTAAAGTTTACGTATCGCTAACTAATAATCCCTCTTCTATTTAGCGGACCGAGAAAGTCGTTACGAGGAAGAAGAAGAACAGAGTCGAAGTATGAGCCGGAAGAGGAAGGCATCTGTGCACAATTCGGGCCGTGGCTCTAACCGTGGTTCCAGACACAGCTCTGCACCCCCCAAGAAAAAGAGGAAGTAACTTCTGAACTTTGGCCCTGTGCTCCATTCTTCCTCCAGTCAACCCCTGAAAATTTTACATGACATAGAAACTGTATTTTTCCTTTTGTTTTCATTTGAAGTTTTGCCATTTGTGTTTATGGGTTTAGGGGGCCATTTGTGTGGACCAATCTACTCGGGGAATTCCAGGCCCACCAGGACACGTGCCAGTGGCCCCATTCAGATGGCAAGGGAAGAGGTGTTCTTGAAGACAGGAGGAGGATCCCGCTGTTAATAAATATTGTTTCATTCTTCTCTCTTCCTGTCACCTTCTGCCAGGACTGCGATGGCTTTTGACATCTTATGTGGTATCTCAAAGCTGTATTTCCAAGACAGTGGTACGAGGTGACTCTTAATTACTTGTATCATGGTTCTTGACCAGCATATTGAATCTTCCATCTTACCCTTCTGCCATGACCTTCCTCACATCTCTAAGTTTTATCTTTGCAATACTCAAGATTCTTGGAAATTTGCTGACATTTGCGATAATCCATACAACTTGAGCTAGTGAGGCAGACTGGGCTGGTGCCTTCATCCGAGTTTTTCTGCTTTCTTACCTCATGCAGATTCTGAGGTATTTCTGCTGCCTTGGAAGACATAAGAAAGATGCAGTGATACTCCCTGGCTTGGTTATTTTCTCCATACAAATGCACACATGGTACAATGATAGAAGGCAAAATTACCACTGTCTTTTTTTTTGGTATATATAAGGAAGAATGGTTGTTCCTCGTATACTGCGTCTAGTGAAATCTAGAGGAAAGCTCAAAGGAGTCAACATTTAGATCTGGAAGGGGCAAATCATGCCTTGGGCCTAGAATACCCTGATGAGAAAAGAGAAGAGGAAGGGAGGCCATATCTACAACACAGCCTCTCAGCACTGCCGCTCCTTATTTTAACTTGTCTTGCATTGTCACAGTTTCTGTTGAACAGCTTTTCAAGTATTTGGGGAGTTTATCTTGCCATCCTCCCCTTCTGGTTCTCTGCACCCACCTGTCCCACTGCAGTTCCTTCCATGCTCTGACTTTAAGAGAAGAAGTGGGGAGGGGTCCCGGATTTTATGTTTGTTTTTTTCTCCTTAGCAGTAGGACTTGATATTTTCAATTTTGGAAGAACTAAAAGATGAATAAACTGGGTTTTTTTTGTTGTTGTTGTTTGTTTTTGTAAATTCACCTTTTGTGATCATTCTTTTTCATCTCCTGAAAGCAAGCCTGCTTCTTGCCTGGTAAAGTGCTAAGGCATTAGAGAAAAATGCCTTTAGCTAGCTAGCAACACAAAAGAAACTTTGACCATTCTGAACTTTTATCATTAGGTTGAGAGATACTAGATATCACAGTAAAACAAATTCATGTTGTAGCAAGTTACTTTATGAGACTTTACTATGGTTCCCCCAGAGATCTGAATAGCACTTGTTTCTTCATGAAAACAAATCTTCAGTCATCTCCTTGTAAATAGCATGGAGGGCAGCAGCTGCTTGAAGGGAAACCTTCAGCCTTCCTATTGGGGTGGCCAGATCTTCAGGGTTAACAACTGTTGGAAAAGGTAGGGTGGGGGGAATGTCAGGCAGCAGTATCACTCAGTTAAACACTTTGGGATATTTGTCAGGTTAAGTACTGGAGATACTAAATGAATGAATAGTGGAGGAAAAGGGTCATTGCAACAGTGTGTGTAGGTGCTGTAATAAAGCACAAGGTAAACCTACACCAGAATGGACAAATTGGAAAAGGATTTCTGAAGATAATTCATGAGCTAAGCGTTTAGAAAGTAAAAGACACTTAATCTATCAAGATACGAGAATGTGTTTGGAAAACTGCAAGGAGTGGCAGGAATGAGCCTGTACAGGCCACATAACAGCCTTGTCTGTCTGGGAATGGTGATTTCAACTGAAAATACCAGAAGTGATTGTTCTTATGTGGAGGGCTTGAAAAATGACTACTGTTTGGATAATACAGTCAAAGAGGACACAAGTTAAACCAGGGAGAGTAGTTAGGATATTGCAGTAATTCAGGGGAAGGGGAGTAATGGATGAAAGTCTGAAGTATAATGGAGAGGTGGGGACAAATTCAAAACATTTAAGAAGTGTAAACAGTTTTTGTGATTGGAGTGAGGAATAGCTTGGAATCAAGGACAGCCATTCTAATTTGGATAACAAGATAGTTGGTGGGTAAGAGGGAATACAAGGTACAAAGTTGTAATCAAGGGATTTTGAGGTACCAAGGGGACATAGGAAATACAAGTAGTGACATCTAGTCTGCGCTAAGTCTAGATTGTATTTAGAATCTGGTCTAGAAACCTAGATTTGAGATTATTTCTAGACTACAAAACTCAGTGGATATAATCCGGAAGAAGGTATATATAGAGAAAAAAATTCAATGATGACAATCCAAAATTTGAAGAACAGACAAGAAAGAAACCTACAAAGGAAACAGAACACCCAGAGAGTGATAGTCAAAATTTCTAACCAGGTGCAGTGGCTTATGCCTGTACAAATCCCACCACTTTGGGAGGCTGAGGCAGGCAGATCAACTGACTTCAGGAGTTCGACCAGCCTGGCCAACACGGTGAAACCCAGTTTCTACTGAAAAACACAAAAATTAGCTGGGTATGGTGGCACATGCCTGTAATTCCAGATACTTGAGAGGGTGAGACTGGGAGAATTGCTTGAACCTGGGAGGCGAGGCTGCAGTGAGCCGAGATCAAAAGACTGCACCCCAGCTTGGGAAACATCGAGACGCTCAAAGAAATAAAAAAATTTGAAGACAGTCATGAGATTTGGCAATTAGGAAAACTGATAAGAATTCCGTAAAGTAGGCCGGGCGTGGTGGTGGCTCACACCTGTAATCCAAGCACTTTGGAGGCCAAGGTGGGCGGATCACCTGAGGTCAGGAATTCAAGACCAGCCTGACCAACATGGTGAAACCCCGCCTTAAAAAAAAAAAAAAAAGAATTCCGTAAAGTAGAATGGAAACAGTCTTACTGGAGGGAAATTGCAGGAGGTAGTGAAATACAGGCAAAGCCAGGCCCAGTGGCTCTCACCTGTAATCCTAGCACTTTGGGAGGCCAAGGCAGGAGGATCACCTGAGGTCAGGACTTCAAGACCAACCTGACCAACATGCAGAAACCCCGTCTCTACCAAAAATACAAAATTAGCCAGTCGTGGTGGTGCATGCCTGTAATCCCAGCTACACAAGAGACTGAGGCATGAGAATTGCTTGAACCTGGGAGGCAGAGGTTGCAGTGAACTAAGATTGTGCCACTGTACTCCAGCCTGAGCAACAGACTTCATCTCAAANCTGAGTGCATGATGACACAAAGAATGGGCGTCAGCTGCCTATATCAACATGTTCAAGAGAGATCCAAAATTCTGATATATAAATTTGAAATGAAAAGAACTTATCCCTTTTCTTCTTGAGATGGAGTTTCACTTTTGTTGCCCAGGCTGGAATGCAGTGGCACAATCTCAGCTCACTGCAACTTCCACCTCTCAGGTTTAAGCAATTCTGCTGCCTCAGCCTCTGGAATAGCTGGGATTACAGGCATATGCCACCATGCCTAGCTAATTTTGTATTTTTAGTAGAGACGGGGTTTCTCCATGTTGGTCAAGCTGTTCTCAAACTCCCAACCTCAGGTGATCCATCTACCTTGGCCTCCCAAAGTGCTGGGACTACAGGCATGAGCCACTGTGCCGAGCCAAGAACTTATCTTTTTTAAAATCCCCTTTTTCAACATGGTAGATTCAAAATCAATTCTAGTTGTAATCAGGTATATGGGGGCTAAAATACAAAACTGACTACTTTAGTGCTGGATCCAGAAATAAATCCAGTTGTAGGGATAAGATTTCAATCCAGTTTGTGTCTCATCAACTTCATAGTGATAATTACGTATTGAAGGTAAAATGTAATTCATTATTAGGATGATTTCCTTAGAAATAATTAGAACTGAACATTAAAAAAAAAAAAAAGTTACTCACTGTCTAGTTCTTGCTCTAGAATATCTTTTCTTGACTCCAGGATCTGCCACAGTTTAAGATATGCGTATCCTACTTCTTCACATTCTTTCTCTTCTTCATCCAGAGGATCACTAACCACTGTAAACTTTAAACTAAAAAGAAATTGCATTTAACTCAGCACTGTTGATACCATTTATGCTTCAAAAATAAAGGTAAAAGTAATCAGAAACAATACAATGTCTTCTCTGAATCACTTTTCCCTTGCCTCCATTCTACAAAATGACAATAAACAAAGTGAGGAATTGGTGTAATTTAAGTAACAGTCCTTTTAGAAGAGGAACTAAAACTCGAGATAATGTAGTTGATTCAAGTTGTCTTAAAACTATCAAGATACAATTTCCAGTAAGATGGTTCATAATTTTTTTTTTTTAAGAGACAGTCTCATTCTGTAGCCCAGGCTGGAATGCAGTACCACAATCATAGCTCACTGCCACCAGAAATTCCTGGGCTCAAGCAAAGTTCCCACCTCAGTCTCCTGAGTAGCTAGGACTACAGGTGCGCACCACCCTGCCAAGCTAATTTTTATTTCATTTAATTTTTTATAGGGATGAGGATCTCATTATGTTGTCCAGGCTATTCTTGAACTCCTGGCCTTGAGCAATCCTCCCACCTCAGCCTCGAGCATAGCTGGGATTAAAGGAGTGAGCCACTGTACTAGACAGCTTACAATTTAGTTGAAAGATGATACAGACAATGAAGATGTTTCACAAAAACAATAAGAAACCAATGGTATATTTAAACAAAACAAAACAGGATTATGGGAGTTAGGAGAGGCTTTTTTTTTTTTTTNCGCTTTTGTTGCCCAGGCTGTAGTGCAATGGTGCAATCATGGCTCACCGCAACCTCCGACTCCCAGGTTCAAGCAATTCTCCTGCCTCAGCCTCCTGAGTAGCTGGGACTACAGGCATGAGTCACCACACCTGGCTAATTTTGTATTTTTAGTAGAGACGGGGTTTGTTCATGTTGGTCAGGCTGGTCTCGAACTCCTGACCTCAGGTGATCCACCTACCTCGGCCTCCCAAAGTTCTGGGATTACAAGCGTGAGCCACTGCACCCGGCCAGAAGGAGAGGCTTTAAATTTAAAGTTGGTTACCATAGCAGAGCAAAAGAAGCAGAAGGAATGCATAATTGCAAAATGAGTATAAAAGATGTATTTCTTTTTTTTTCCTTTTTGATTTTTTTGAGAGGGAGTCTCGCTCTATCGCCCAGGTTGGAGGGCAGTGGTGCAGTCTCAGCTTACTACAATCTCCACCTCTCTAGTTCAAGCGATTCTCTGCTTCAGCCTCCTGAGTAGCTGGGATTACAGGCACCAACCACTGTACCCAGCTAAATTATTTATTATTTTTTTTTTTTGTATTTTTGATAGAGACGGAGTTTCACTATCTTGGCCAGGCTGGTCTTGAACTCCTGACCTTGTGATCTACCTGCCTCTCCCAAAGTGCTGGGATTACAGGCGTGAGCCACTGTACCTGGCCTATGTTAACCATTTTAAAGTTTATACATAATTCAATGTTTCTTAGTGTAATCACAATGTTGTGCCATCATCACCACTATCAAATTTCAGAACATTTCATTGGCCAAGTGCAGTGGCTCACACATGTAATCCCAGCACTTTGGGAGACTGGGGATGTGCCCACGAGTTCAAGACCAGCCTGGGTAACATAGGGAGAGCCCATATCTCTACAAAAAAATAATAATAATAAAAATACAAATTAGCCAAGCACGGTGGCACACACCTATAGTCCCAGCTACTTGGAAGGCTGAGGTGAGAGGATCACTTGAGCCCAGGAGGCCGAGGATGCAGTGAGGCATGATCATGCCACTGCACCCCATCTCTAAAAGAAAAAAAAGAAACGAAAAGGACACTCTGTACTTATTCACTCCCCACTCTCCTTCCCCAGCTCCTGGGAACCACGAATCCACTTTCTATCTCTCTGGATTTGCCTATTCTTGACTTTTCATATATTTTTTTTAATTTTTAAAAGCAAATATTGGTAGCTAATACAGAGTGCCAGGAATAGGACTAAAAATTCAAGCTCCTTGGCACAGAAGTAGTCATGAGTTTTGTCCCCCCACACACAAAAAATTCAAGCTCTTTTTTT